ATGGCATATTACACGAGTGCAGGCGTACTCAGACCCACGTTCAGCATCGGGTGGTACAGCATGTTAGGTCCATGTATGCAACCACTAAACGTGTTTAGAATTGCGCCCACCCAACACATCACGTGATTCGCGCGCGGACGTCAAAACAACATTAGAGCGCAGCAGCATCAAACGCTTGACATCCATAGGTGGTTGAGGAAGTGGTTCACCACATCCACTCGGAAAACGGACACACTCATGCGGCATCAACGAAATTCACACTACTGGATGGCCGGAAAACCGAGTCGAGATTCTCCATTCGCGTAGTCCTCAGTGTGCAACTGTCCACCGGATATGACGTGGGCCCGATACTGAAACAGCAGCGATTGGCTACACTGAAACTATCTGCACGCAAGATAGCGCGCCCTTCGTCAGTTTCACGTGGTATGACATATGGTTAGCAGTGTCTACGTGTCATCGTGTGTGCGCGATCGTGTCGGATACTGTAGCTGTCTATGTGAACTAGTCAATGTACATGGTGTATCCCTACGGGATACCACTGAGCAATGCAGGCTGCACATCAGGCGTTAGAGAACGACGGTTGTGGATGAACTGTCTGTTAACCGCTGTTGAATGTAGAGCATGATCAGCTTTTATGATAAGGTGACCAACAGCATATGCACCGCAATGCACAATGTACCGCAGTGACCTGTGCGGAAGAGTACTGCGTTAATTGTGATACGATTAACAGGTTAGTAACGGCTTGGGTTTATTGGTCTGTATGTATTTGCTAGTCTATTGCAGCCTTTGACAAGGCGAACGAATACGTTTGAGTTCGTGTGGAACGAAAGATGAAACGACGGTCTATGTCGACGCACTGGAGATGATGAAACACTGTTTGACTGAAGAGAGTGGTCGAAGCTTAAGGTGGTTGAAACAACCGAGAGAAAGGCATTGCGCCATATCGTGTTTTAGCTCGGGCTTCACTCGGTACTTAACACTTAGGAATATGGTGTTGCCATGAGATCGTCAATGTCCACTATATTGTACATAGTACTGGAAAACTGCAACAAATGGACGAAAAGGTGTTGCTACCATGTTGCTACCATTTGTGAACATAAATATGGATAGGAAGATCTAGTTTGTGAGGCATCTGAAATGCCTCAACATGGAGTAGGTATCTTGCAATGGCATATTGTCATTCCTTGACTATTTTGTTTGCGGGAATGGCTAGCTTACAAACCGATATTTCGTCAACCAGCGGACACAGATGGGGCATTGCACTACAATTCCGGTCACCCAAAGCATGTGTGTGTTGCGAGAGCCTTATCTGTGTTTTACAGACCTAAGGCTCTGTGCTCAAAGGAAGAAGTTGGGAACGCCGCTTGGATGTGGTCGCGTGAAACGTGTCTTCTCAGGGGCTCTTCATCTCTGAAGCTGCTACGTGGGTTACGTCGTAACTACGTTGCTCCACACAACTGGGTGGTTACAACTTATGGGAAGCTGTTTTCCTCAACATAGTTTTTCGAGTAACAACTTAGTATTATGGGGAATTTTGGGAGCCATAAGAGCAGTATTCACTTCCGTTACAACTATGTTAAGTAGAACGCGATAATTGGCACCCGCAACGTTCTCGACCAGTAAGAGTAGGGATATGGACTTGTTCCCCATAACTCGAAATGTGGATAACAAGCAGATATTTTTTGCTCGATGTGACGTCGCTGTTTACTATTATTCGCGTTAACCAAACAACCGATTACCTTGCCGGATACATCGAAGGTACAGGTAAACAAATTGGCTTACGAGTCGAAGAGCTGAAGACGGTGCTTCAATCGATGTGCTCACAATGTCCAGTTTCGTCTTGCGGGACAGTTGTACTGACAAAAAGGCGGTCTACCTATGGGGTCACCATTGGATACCTTGCTCGCAGATGTATTTATGGGCAAACTAGAGATAGGTCCGCTAAGTGAAATGATTGAGCGGATGCCACTTTATAAACGCTGTGTCGACGTCATGTGTACAGTTGACGAAGCCGTGGACCGGATTGCGTTTCTATGGAAATTCAATCCGGTCCACAGGAATATTCAGCTTTGCATGCAATCCGAGTAAAACGAAGGTCTGGCTTTCCTGGAAGTTCAAATGTCACGTCGACTAGATGGCTAACTGCAACTTAGAATCCACAGGAAAGCGACATCGACGGGTCAGTATGCGCATTTTGAGAGCTGTGTGCTAAGTTGACAGAAAGAAAAACTACTTCGGTGTCTTATTAGAAGCGCGATGAAAATGACTTCCGTGGATACAATTGGAGCTGAACACGACTTAATAAGAAAAGAGTTCCTTAGTAATGGGATCGCACAATTACGCATTATCTTTACTTCCGCGCCCATGCTACACCTCCAGCTGAAGGATAAACTGTCTGTGAATGTCACCTCTTTCTGTATTTAACAATTTAGCTGTTCCTGTGAGACAAGTTATATAGGTCGCACCACGAGCGTCATCGTTACCCATCGTGACTAAGCCGAGGATTGAACAAAGCGTGCACCACAACAATAGACGCGCACCTAGCCCAAACGAATCATCCCGTCGTTATCACTAAAGCCTTTCACACGATCTGCCTTGTGAAGGACGTCCATTCCAAGCTTATCAGATGCCGAATTCTTGCATTGGCGGAGGCGATTGCGATTCTTCTCAACAATCCCCCGTTGTGTGTGCATAAACAATTCGTCAACGCTTTGGCTTTACCATGGCCAGATGCAATACGGGCACCCTCCGTGTGATCAAAGCACACCCACCATTGGCATGTTAGTATTTCCCAGTTACTCAATGTATTGTCTCGTATCACAACAAAGTAAATGTGTTGCGTTTAACCTGAAGATGAACCGCCGAAAACGATCTTGTTTTCTGGACCGTTTTTTCATTTTCTAGCTTTTGTAAATATGTAATCCTTTTACACGCACTATACGCGCATAGTTCGGACAGAGAGAATGTTTATGGCAATGTGTCGCATGGCTTCTATCCCTCCAGCGGTGTGAGACGAGTTTTCCCGTTGGCACCTTTCACATTTAATCTCACGATGGATGAAGTCACGGAAACGGCTTTCGCTAAACGCGATCTACATAGTGTGGATCTGCTGATGAGCGAGTTCTTCGTTTTGATTACACCGGCGACGTTGCCCTAACCTGTGACAGCTCCCAAACGTCATGCTTCCCTTTACAGATTAGCACTGGGCTATGGTTTGCATTTTCGAAATACATATCCCCTTCCAACATTGGCAAAGACCCGGCCATGCGCGAACTCTTGGATGTGCACCGTTGGCATTTGTTCATAAAATTGTGTTTAGGTTGCTATTTTAGCCCCTGTGGAATAAAACTCGAAATCACGAACCGTATAGCCAAAGCTCGAGACACTTTTGTTAATCTCCGCCAGCTGTGGCGCCGGCGCGACATCATTCTCGCTCTGAAGCGGAGAGTTTACAGTGCAGCTGTGCGTTCAACCCTTCTGTAACTTTGCGAAAGTTGGTCCATCAGGTCGACAAATATCAAGATGCTGATTATGATCATTGATGCTTTCGCAGCTTAACTCATCTGGTGGGAGCCCCACGTGACTGATGGGCGCGTTCTTCGTCGTGTATTTCCTGCAGGAAGAGCGAGCAAACCACTCAGCACCGTTATTTCACTCCCCAGGTTCCGTTGGCTGACACATGTTTCGCATGCCAGCACATCGACTCCTGCGATGGCTCGGTCAAGAGGAATGAAAACCCTTTCTGCGAAGTTGCCGTCCGTTGATCTCTCCTGATTGTTGGGCTGCGACCCGAAGGACGATGACTACATATGGTTGGATACACTTGTTGACATGGCGAAGTGGCTACCTCACTGGCAATCTTGTGCTTTTGCCCCCTTCCTACCTGCGTAGCCTTCATTTCCTACCACGATCTCGCTTTTGGTGCATACTTATAGAATGACCACACTATTGACTGTCTCAGTCTAATCTTTTTCTATTTATTGTTTTGTACTCTCCTTTTCGGATATTTTACTGCACTGTACTGCAGCACAATGGTTGAGGCATTTCTCACTAGCTCACCGGTACAATGACGTTGATGATTTTGCCAAACCTTATTCGTTCCGACACACGGTGGGACATCTACTCTCGTCAGGGACATGGTGCACCACGCGGCAGTTTTTTTTACTACTGTTTCTGTATCGTTAGAAAATATATAAATTCTAGTTGAGGACATTTTATAGATACACGTCTTTCCCCACCGTTGCTGACATATCATTTCTCATAACTTTGGTACAGCTGGGTGTGGAATGCAAGAGCCTCCGCTTGGTGCTTGGCATGGTCCATTCTGGTGTCGCACTGTGCGGTCTTTTGAACCGAAATCGCATACTTTCACGATTTCTGCCTTCTTTCCGACTACCTATTGCGACACGTGGTACTTGCTAAGATTGTGCCATTTTGAATGAGGCTCTACGTTAATCTGCCGAGGATATGACAGAATAAGAAAATAGAGTCTATCCAAGACCTCAACTTGGCTGGACGTGGTCATTTGCATATGGCATCACATGTGCTGGAACCTTTACCTGATGTGGCGCCATCGAAATGTTGCTTTTTCTCTCTGTCTCTGGCTTTTGTACGTTGTATGTTTTTCTTACTCCTTGTTAACTCCACTTGTTTATGTAGCGTATATTGTTTTCACAGAAGCACACTGACGGAGAACGTGTTGCAGAGCATTAAGATTCTCGGTTCACAGTCTATGCTGAACTAATGACAAATCCCTTTTTTGATTGCAACTTGACCTAGAGATTTGTGCACCTTTTGTAGAAATCCGTGTACTTTTTGATTGGGTTTGTACTTGCTGATGGACTTGTCAACTCCTCCTTATATTTTGTGCTAATTGTAATTAACGCTCACACTGTTTATGGTCACGAGGGTGTGATGCGCAGTTTCAGATCATTTTCTCCTTTGGTAAAATGCGATTGCACTTCGTTACTAATCTTAAAGAAGCTTTTTTCTTCATTTAGCATTCTGGCGTCTGGTTTTATGTCTGAGCATATGTTACGAGCTGCTGCTCGTGCTCGTCTTATTTCAAGTAAGTCCCACATTTTTTATACAGTCCTTTTGTCACCACTCTGATAAATGCAGTCAGTTTTTGCTTGGCTATAGGAGCCCTATCGGTGCAAACGTGACAGCTAGCTTTCCAGACCGCTGCATATATATATATATATATATATATATATATATATATATATATATATATATATATTGTTGGCGTCATCCGGTTCCGGATTTGCCCGTCGATGTGGCCTCCATAGGACAGCCTCAGCAGGCCTGCACCTACAGAGGGGCCATGAGTGACTTGCGCTGCATCACCCACAGTTCCACCTAAACGCCCCATATCCTGTGTAAACGTGAAGGAATAAAACCGGGAGGTATGCGGGTGGGAGCGACATTTCATCAGCGAGGCCGGCCCACACTGTTTCAACAACGGAACAGAAGCATTCGTGCGTAATTGGAAAATCATGCGCGCCAAACTTACACAAGGCGGTGGCTGGGCCGTAGCCCGTTCCACACAGGATGCATGGAACCACTCTTTGAACCTAGTACCGTAACGAGGACGGTGCACTCCGTCCTCTCCAACAACGACAAACTGTCTCCTGAAGCCAGTATGGACGCGGTGGTGGGTAATAGACAGGTAGGCACCTTGTTAACATTCACAACAGGCGCAGCCACACCAGGGAACTCCATAAACATTTAACCCCTGAAATGTAAAAATACTCATCACACAGACAAACGTACCACATCCGCCGCCTTATTGGCCCGAAGTAATAAATAGAATAGGAGCGGACACATCGCGCTTCTCTTCCGCGTGCAATAGTGCCAGCACCTGGGCAACCGCCCTCTTGATCAGCCTACGGAATTCGCACCGATCAACTTTGCCTTTGAATCACGACACGTGAAAGCAACATTAGTTCTTTTTAAAGCCACCTTGTTCATGTCGTGGTAATGTTATTTTCGGTTTGCCCGAGTGCCGCTCCCCTACACTAAGTTGCCCGTCCAGCAGCTGTATGGGTATCCTCGTCGAATTCCTCCAGTATACACATATACATAGATTGACGTCATCCGTGTCCAGTGGCAGTTCGAATACTACATACGCACATGCGTTTGTCCCAACTTAACTATGAGCTGCTACAAATTGGATAGAGACACATTAAAGCTCATGAACATTAGTACTACGAATGTGCATGGGTTTCGTTTGGAGGTCAGGCTGACAGCCTTTTCCGCACGCATGGGAATAAGTACGCAATATGAACTGTTGGGTTTTTCTTTAACATTTATATGTGACCAGAAGTGACAGCTTTAAATCCTGGACATCAATAATTGAACGAAACCGATATAGGAATAGTGAAGCAACTGCCGTCAGTACGGTTACCAGGTAGAATGATACATGGACAATTGGTACAGTAAAATGGTGTGTATTTAGGTGTTGCCTCCTATATATACAGTCTGGTTTGCGTAGCTGATGGGGAGATCGTACAGCGTGTGAATACGATGGAGTGTTCACTTCTGGCTCTCCGTGTCGCCGACCGGTCCGATCATCTGCTGTCCGAGGTACGTGCAGATTCTAAATGAGCGATCGGTACGCAACCTTAAACATTGACAGGTGGCAATACCACCTATTCGTCGCTTACGGCCTCGTTGTCACGACAAAAACTGCAGTAATACACCAACTAAATCCCACTGCCCGCTGTCAAACATGCAGCTTTCTAAACAGTGTGCGCACTGTTTTGCAAATCTTCAATACGTAGCATGGCTGTCGTCCAAGTACCCATTCGTTTATACATACCACTGTCTATCCTGCTGTGGCAATAAGTTATTTAGTAACGATCTGCATCGTAGGTCTCGGGTGCAGCCATTCGGTGCACTCCTAAAATAAACAATTGTCGCTATGCGCCGATTCCTTTCCGATGTATCACACTAAGAAGCGGACGTGCCATTACCGTTGGCATTACCTACTTTCTAGTCTAGCTAGAAGATTGGCCATTCCCAATACCACTTCTAGTAGGCATCTCTGCGCTTCCGCCTTCAATCCGCATAATACCTGCGTTTTCCTAAGCACAGGTAAATTCTGTATGGCTGATGAACCACGGGAACTATAGCTATGCTCACTGTCTTCACTAACATGTAAAACGGAACATAAACTGTCCGCATCATGATAAACGCTAGCCAGTTAATTGTCGGGATTGTTCACTTGCCACGGATTTTCCAGGGCGCTTTCTTTTCGGATGCATAGTCCAACATGGTCACACGAGGAACCATCGTTGAGTATTATATTTCAAATTCCAAACTTTACACTTTTTTGGGTACTTTAAGCGGCTAAGCGCTGGTAACCTGTGATTCATACCTTACCACCGAACTGGAAACATACTCAGTAATTTACCACCCTAGCATAGAACTGTAACAATACATCAGTTCTCTCGGAAACTGCGCGCACACACAAACTACGAATGAGCTCATTGATGGACAGAACCTCTATCCTGCGATGTACCGGCTCTCTAAGCGTTGTGCTAGTTATTACCGGGCAGCTAGTCGAGATACGGTCATGCAATCTAACAATCGATTTCAAAAAGCAGAATGTAGCTAGCAAAAGGACAGTGGCAGCCTCGCATAGTTTGGTGAGCAATACCTTGGAGCTTACGTAGTGATGCTAATGCCGGACGAATAATACTACGGAAAGATGCCGTAGTTCTCCGTCTCGTTATGTTACCGTACTAGTATCCACTTGAGAAGGTGGCAAGGGTATCATAGATCACAAAGAGTGCAATAGTGTAGTGGGCAACACATGAAATACAACCGAGTTTTTTTTAGCCCAATAAAAGGTAGGTTTCATACGCAAAAAGATACTGCATTGCACCAAGTCAGTAGTTAGTCATTCTAGAATGAAACTGTACCCAAGCGAGACTCTTACATTAGCGATGCAATAAGGATGACACAAAGAAGATGACGGAGCGTGAGTAGGCAACTTTCCAAGTTTGCAGGGAAATGGTGCGCTTGAATCAACTGATTTTCATAAGCTCAGCTAAGTTAAAGTTGGCGGAAGAAGAATGGGAATTACAGCTCTAATCACTCTAATAAATAACATATGGAACAGTGCGTGAAACACCAACATCATCATGTTAATCGCTAGTCAGTTACTTGCCGGGACTGTTCACTCTCCACGGATGTTCCGGAGCGATTTATCTTAGGATGCATTGTCCCACTTGGACATATCCACCAGATTGCTAATTTGCCACCAAATCGAGGAAGCATTACTTTTCCATACTGTAATAGGTAAAGTGTTTGGAGGCTTTGGTAATGGTAATGTACGGTAAGATAAGGTAAATCATTGTAGCCCAACTGCGGTGAGGAAGCGTGGTATATGCAAAATCATACCTCAGCATCGGGGCACTCGTATGTGGGCATCTGTGTTCAGATTACCAGTATGATAAATACAAAGCGCCGGTGTCTGCAGAATCTATGGGTGGTTGTGGGTGCGCTGCAACACTCGATGAATTACTGCAGTATCAGTGCAAAAGTCCTCGCTGGGATTCCGTTCTGACTCACCTTATTCCATAATGTCTCCCCCATTTAACATGCACCGTCCCTTCTCAGTTGCGTACCACCAAGGGCCACATGTCAGTCCGTGTTGCTCGGTCTCACATTTGGCCAGTTCGTGGACTAGTTGGTTACTGGCCAGACCGGCTTGCATAAGGTACGCACGGCCGCATGCACTACAGCTCCATGTGGGAGTAACCGAAGAATTGTAGTCCGCCGACAGCTGATGCTTGAGCGCTTCAAGTTTAATTCCCCGATGCACTAGCTGTCTTTCTTACGCTTCTGCAACGGTATGCGTGATGAGATCACGCCAGATGCATCGATTCGTTGCCATCTCCTCCCAACTCCTTAGGTAAATACTTACTCGGGACAAACTAACCTTGATATTGTCTTGGTAGCACAACTTTGGTTTACCTGCTTTCCGGCCGCCTGCGCTCAGTTGCCCATGCAGCGGTTGTTTCGGGATTCTCTTCGCATTCATACGGCGCACATGTCCAAGCTACGTAGGTTTCGCAGCGGTAGCATGCAGTCCATGGTGTACCCTTCACTCAGGCGAATCACATCAGTGTCCGGCACATTGTCTCACCAGTGGATATGCAGAATCTGGCGAAACCACTGTTGATGGAATTGTCCCAGAAACCGGATTTCCTTCCTGTACAGTGTCCACTTTTCCGATCCATAGATAAGGACCGAGAGAACCATGGATTTTTACACCATTACCTTGGTTCTAACCGCGAGATGATGATTCTTCCGCACGCGATGCTTCAGTTTCTTAAAAACCCCACTCGCCTTCGCTAAACAAGTGCGCAGTTCGTCGTTGATCCGCAGATCGGTTGACAACATGCTCCCGAGGTAGCAGAATGCTGACATCCTCTGTAGTACTTCATCTGCAATCCGTATTTTTGGCCTGAACAACTCACAGTCTGTGTGT